TTTCCTCATCACGGTCTATGCCATTGCACTGGTTCACGTGTAAATCTCTTGCAGTTAATCAGGAGACAACACATGTATTGCAAATCAGAGGGGAGACAGTTGCAGTCCCAAAGGGAGGTTCTCTGCTGATATGGAGGTCACGGGCTGGATTGGTTGTAGATGGGCACAGAGGGGTTATTGTTTGTAGCTGCATGGTCAATGATGAGAGGAGAAAATGCAGGAATGAGCAACAGACAGTGTGGATTTATCAAGAGTAAACTGGCAAACCAAGCTGATTTCATTGTATTACCAAGGTAACGAGTTTTGGGGCTAAGGGAGAAGTAGTTGTTGTGATCTCTGGAGTTCTGCAAGATTTAATTAAAAATAGGAAAAGGATATTTTCTTTAAAAAAAAAAAAAAGAGCAATTCTTTGGCCATGCCTCCTGCTTCTGGGGTCAACATAAGGTCCTCTGAGGTCTTCACCCTCCTCTGGCAGTGTGGTCATTCCATAAGCAAGTCAGAAGAACTACAAAGAGCTCGCTTCTGCTTCCAGCAGTGATACTGCCAGAAGACTCTTCCTTCTCCCCCACCTCCTTCCCCCCAATCTTTGACATAACTACCAAAATCCACGTGCAGCGTGCCGACCTTCCAGCTCCTCAGCAGCTGGCCCTTACGAGCCATTTCAGGTGAAACAGCTTGGCAGCCTTCCAAAAGCTGATATTGCACCAGGATCTGCAGAAGTAGCGCTCCCGAATTTGGAAAACACCTTGAAAAGCAAGTGGGTTAACCCCCCCCACCTCAGGAGCCAGGAATACAACTGCAAGGGGTTGCCAGGAACCCCGAGGCGGGCAGCTCCGGGAACAAGGATGCTTCCTCCTGTTCTGTATCCCAGGGCCTGCTTACTCATTTTGATGTTTTCCTTTCCAAGGTGCCTTGCCTGTGCACACCAGGAGGTGTCTAGCTCTCGTTCAGCACACAGCACCAGCTCTGTGCTCTGCTGCAGCACAAACCCATGGCCTCACCTCCCACAAAAGCAGAGGCGAACGTTTATCCATGACGTTTTCTTTCAGTGCGTTGGGACTGGGATGAGGGTCTTCTGGCTCTGAGCCCAAGCAGAGGAGCTGTGGCCCCATCCACCGTGTCCTCAGCCAGCTGGCCTCGCCTTGAAAGCAAGGCACTGGTGGGGTGGCTGCTCCCTGCTGGGCTAGACCTGCACTGTGCTGCAGGCCCTGCAGAGGGGCACGCGGGGTCTGCGCTGGCTGATAAAGGAAGAAGAAGGTTGTGGCTCCTGCAGAGGTTGAGGTTTCCACACCTCACCTCCTCTCTGGTGCCAGCAGGACTAGCAGGCCCAGGTCTCCTGCATGCCATTCACATTAGGTGACTTAGCCACCTCACTAGGTAGCCCATGTCTGCAGCTCAGAGCAGCTCCTCACTGGGGAGTCTGGGGTACAGATGAATTCAGCTCACACTACAAAACCAGACAATTTCAGTCACCATGCAAAACAAGCAATAAAACCCAGCCTGACTGGCCCATTATACAGCAAGCTCTGGCCTTGCACAGCACAAAGTACCACCGCCACCTCCCTCAGGTCATGGTTTTGGCTGGGGCCACTGAAGTAATCCCTGCTGACTTCACCATGTCAGAAAAGAGTTGACACAGCATTTGGCTGAAGAGCTGGAGTTATTTCTGAAATGACTTGGATGTTCTCGCTCTGAGCTGGCAGGTTGTAACAGATAAGCCTCTGTGAAGGTGGCTGAAGTTGGACCTGTTCACCTGCAGCTCAACGTGAACGTGAATTTTTGCATCTCTTGAGTTGT